AAGGTACCTCGTCTGTGCGGCGGGTGCGGCTGGGGGCGTTTCATGCGCGAATTGTTCCTCCTATGTGTTTTGCAACGAGGGGTTGTTCCTGTGTGCGTAGTTCTATGCGGTTCTTGAATCTCTGGTTGCATGATCGCATTGGAATGGCTGCATGAATGTTGCATGGGTTATGTTTTGGGGAGGAAGCCGGAGCACGAAACCTTGTGTTTTTCCGTGTAAAGTGGCTGCAGCCGGCGATGAAAGGTACCTCGTCTGTGCGGCGGTTGCGGCTGCGGGTCGTTTCTGTCGCGAATTGTTCCTCCTATGTGTTTTGCAACGAGTGGTTGTTCCTGTGTGCGTAGTTCTATGCGTTTCTTCAATCTCTGGTGGCATTGTAATGGCTGCATTGGAATGGTTGCATGATTGTTGCCATTTGGTGTTGCCATGCGCGTAGAGAGACGGGTTAGCGACGTGATGCTTCGAAACGCATTATAATGGCTGCATCCAGGCTGCGATAGTGATTTGTCAGCAGATTTTCGCAATTTTGGCGCAAGTAATTTTCCTTTAAATAATTCTTTTAAAAAGTGCTTCAAAATCGTCTTTTTTCTGCTTTGGCGTCGACATCCGGTTTTGGAGCTGCAATCTCCGACACCGTTGCGGGTAGTTCTAGTGTGTTTTGCAACTCAGTCTCTGCAGATCGCATTGTAGTGGCTGCGTCAAGGTTGCTCGGTGCCTCGGCTGCATGCGTAATACTATTGTCTTTTGCAGCTGAACATCGTAAATCGTATTGGAGTGGCTGCATCAAGGCTGCGAAAGTGATTTGTCAGTTGATTTTTGCAATTTTGGCGCTAGTAATTTTCATTTTAAAAGTCCTTTTAAAAAGTGTTTCAAAATCGTCTTTTTTCGCGTTGGCGCCGAGATCCGGTTTTGGAGCTGCAATTTCCGACGCTGTTGCACCTTTTGCGCTTTGCAACTCAGTCTCTGGAGTCTGTTTTCCATTGATGTCTAGGAACAAGTTATCGAACTCTTGATAAGAAAACAACGGGGGCGATGTGTTGCTAAAGGAACCATTTATAGAAAAAGGCTTCTGTATGGACGTTGCTCAATCTTAGGGTTAGACATGAATGAAACAACTATGTTGGCATGGCGGATGGAAGAATGTGATGAGTTCTATTTTTGCAGTAGTGTCATCTATGTGGCGATGGCGCAGCACCAAGTGCTGGATTCGTTGGCAGCGCTGCTGCGCAATGCCTCCATGAGGACCCCCTTCGATCAGATTGACATTTGCATTGCAGGCATGACAGATCTTTGTGCACCAGAGTTCGATGACAGATTCGATGCTCGATTGCCAGTGCGAGAGGCTGCAAAGCACTTGGTCCGTGCAAGTTCAAATGCACGCACGGGCTTGGCTGGCGCACGGCGCATGCAAGTTCTATAGATCAGAAAGATCTCATATATATATCTTTAAGGCAACTTCCGCCCCGCCTCGTGCGGGTACTACTGGTAGGTCAATTCTTTCCAATTTCTTTACCCAATTTCCGTTGTACCTGGCCCTGACCGATGGAGACCGATGGAGGCCTACCGCGCCAAAGTTCTAAAGTTCACGACAGGCGCGGTTTGTGAGGTGACTGGAAGATGTGTTTTTTTTTCATGTTTTTCCATGGAACATGGAAACTGACCTGAAGTGGCACAAAAAGGGCACTTAAATGGCACTTAAATGGCACTTAAGGCAAAAATGCTGCAGTTTGATGACTTAGGTGACTTTTCATGGAAGACTGACGTGTTCGGGCATTCTTTATGGCGCCCCACTTGGTGATAATCCCAATCTGCTCCAAGTTTCCCCCGGTTTGGCACAGGCCCGTGCCGCTGGGAGATTACCTCTCAATACCTCTCATAGCATCGCTAGGTGTGCATCGAATTGGCTACGTTGGCATCCAATCCTTTGAGGCCCGGTGAAGCTATAGAACTGTTTCTCCGAAATGGATGGGATGTCCCATTTCTGGCTCCGTTGTATATTTGCACACATACACATCTTTTTATATCCCATAGGATCCATGTATGCCATATATGGTAATATTTACCATCAATATACCCCAGTCATGTTAGCATATATACCAGCACCATGGATCCTTAGGTCCTATGGGTATGATTATGTATATGTCCATGATAAGACATGGATTCCCCATGGTGTTTGTTTCTCATGTTGCATCGTTTACAGCTGGGCCCCCAGGGCCGTTGTTCAACACGGGGCGCCTGAGGTTCAACCGGCGGATGGACAAGATGAATCGTTGCCTCGGGCCATGACTTGCCATGGCCCTGGAAACAAAACCTGACGGGAGGATGATGGCGGATGGAAAGGTGCTATCTGGCAATATATGGCAATATTAAATCATTAATATCCACCGTGGTACCCTTTGGTAATTTACTATTGAAGATATTGAAGCCATGGCGGCCATGGCCAAGAAATTTAGTAGTTATTTGAATACGAAATTTGAATGCTGATTTGGAACCACAGTAGTTTTCATACTGCGTTTTATGTTTTGCCTGACCCCAGGTCCAGACCCTTGCTGTATCTGGGGTTGAGAATTCACATACTGTAGGCCATAGGATTTCAACATGCCAACCAGAAGATCATTTATGATCATTTATGTCATAAAAAGATCACCAAGACTACTAGTCACTACCAAGACCAAGACACTTTAATTAAGGCTAATGCGGCTAATGTGTCGCTTGTGTACCACTCCCAACGTTGATCAACATTGCAGGTCCGGCGCTGGCTTCAGCAGCATTTTACCATGACAATATTCTGACGCCATGAGAGCCCGAAGGTATCCCAAAGCTGAGACTTCAGTATTCAATGCTTGATTCAATGTCTGATTCAATGCTTGATTCAATGCTTGATCAGGTTTGATCCATGTGTACACATCGCTTTTTTCCATCCCTTCAGCGCCATGTTTGATCCATGAGTCCCGAGCCTCGCTTTGATTGACGTCCAGAAAGGCGGTGAAATGAGGCCCGCTGGCGAGGCTTCAATCGTGGTGGACTGTTTGGGGCGTAAGTTGCGGGGCCTGGTGAAGGTCCAACCCTTCGCTGGCGAAGGCGGCGAAGGTCCCCCGCAGTTCGCCAAGGAGCGGGTGCAGGTTGAAGCTGCGGATGACTTGTTGCCCTTGATCACTGGCACCAAAAAGTTGTACATGACTGGAGCACCGGCTGGAGATGAGGAGATTATCTGCAGGGAACGAACTTTGGTGGCTCAGTGGTTGCAGAGAAAGTTGCAGCCCCAATTTGAAACTCCCATTGAGGTCACCAGTGCGAGCGCCTCGCATCACGGCAAAGTCCTGGCGCGATTTGCTGGGTCAGAAGAGCCATCCAAGAGCTGGCAGCGATTTTACAGCACTTTTCATATTGATCATAAGCAAAACACCGCTTCCATGGAGGAAGGGGTGCAAGTGAATGTGTGGTTGAACCTGTCGGAGCAACCCATCTCAGATTTCAACCTGGGTTTTCTTCAGCGTGCGGGATGCATCATGGCAGGTGGAGAGTTGCCATTGCTGACGCAGGAGGATTTGGAAGAGGTGACCATTCGCTACCAGGCAGAACTCACCAAGGATCAGGTGCGGATCTTGATGTTTTATTTTGGTGTATCCTGGATATATGAACATGTTTTCCAATGCAGGTTCATTGAATGATATTCTACGATATTCATGGATGGTTTTTGTCCTGATATGTCCGGATGCGAAATCGCAAGTAATGTCACATAGGGCTGATGTAGGCCTCGCAGATCATGCAAATGATGCGAAGTTACTTCGATGCTTTCAATAGACCCTGTGAGGCCTTGATCTTTCAGTCCACTGGTGCGCAATCCGTGGTGCACGGCTGCTTTCGCTTCCAGGATGTGGATCAATTGACCCACGCCCCTCGTTACTCCTTGGAGTTTCGCTTGCTCCTGCGACAGCTGCGAGTTTCGCTGCCGGAACCTTGCAGAGGCCACAACGGCCACAACGGCCACAACCACAGTTGAGACCTTGGAGACCTTGGAGACCTTGGATTCTGCTGCCAGGTGGAAGCTGTGATGTGAGGCCGGCCTGGGAGATCCTGGGAGACAATTCCTCAACGCGGCGCCGTGGCGCTGAAGAACACTGCTCTGAGGGATGGCCATGTGCACGTGACCCAGCTGCTAGAGGCGGCCCAGGAATCAGGGATAGCAGCAACATCGATCATCTCAGATGTCTGAGGGGACTATAGGGACTGTGACATGCCAAGATATGCCAAGACTCTGGCGAAGGAAAGAGACGCGCCATGGTTGTGAGGGCTTTTTCCATATCGCTCAGCATGAACCGCTTAAGGAATTAGATCCGGAAAAAAGAGGTCTGCAAGCATGGCAACGCAGCAGAGCTGCAACATGCTGCAACGAAGTTCACTAAGGTGCAAACATGTTGCAGATGCCGCGCTATTCTTCCAAAGACTGCTTAGCAAAGCAGTTGCGCAAGGCGAGGCTGGTGATTGCCATATGTTGCCATAGACTGGGCTGCAGCCGGCATGGCTGTCCATATCTGTATACAGACGCTGCAGGTAATTGTACTTATTGTGATGCCTTTCGGCATCATGCCATATGGGGTTGTCTCAAGATTTGGGACATTTTGGACCCCAAATCCATCCAAATCCTCTGGTTTGTCGATGGTTTGTCCTCATTGCAGTGAAATTTCTGGGGTGTCCCCCTTGCTTCGTGCAGATTCGTGCAGGCCACTGAGCTTTGTGATGGCTTTCAGATCCTGTAGGTCCGTAGGTCAGGATGCCTCTAGGGACTCTAGGGCTCCGCCTTTTCCTGTGCATAAACCGACAGCTGGTTGCGCGACCAGCTGCCCAGAATCGATCTGGGGCCGATTTAAAGAGCTTTGAGGGAGGAACTGTAGGCCTCCATGTTTATCCAATTTTTGTGATGGTTGAAGATCATTAAAGATATTTGAAGATCATTGAAGGCAGTTCATAAGAGGTTCCTTCCATGCAGACGTGCCGGCAGAGTGAAATTTGAGACTCTGGCGACCTGCAATGACATGACAAAAACGAGTTGAAACGACTGGATCGATGGATTTTAGATACAGCGGGTGCTGAATTTTCATGGGCCTTGTCAGTTTTTAAATCGATCTCAGCAACTACAGTAGCACCTAAGAATATTGTACTAGGATCCCTTGCAGTTCTGTGTTTAATCAGTACAAACCTTGCGCCATGTATCAGTTCTCTGTGGCGAGAACTTTCAGCAACAGTGAATCCAGACTGTTGCCCCACTGTTGCCTCATACTCGCCAGCTCTATTCTTGTGTTTCAAAAAGATGGCTGCCCCTGCGACTGTTTGCTGTGGTTATGAGCATTCGCCGCTGCTGCTCAATCTTATTTACACCTGTTTGTTGCCAACATAAGCGCCGATTGCAGATTGCAGTGTCCACTTTGGTCATTTCCATCCTGAATTTCGTTGCCATCCAATGGGTGATGAACGAAGAATCTATGGACAGAAGATCATGACTGATGAGGATTCAACCATTTTGTTTGAGTTGTCCACCCTATGACTGGGATGATCCAAATTTGACCAGCATATTTTCGGTTTTTTTTTGGAGGGCCTAGCCACCAGATGATCTTGTTGGATTGGTGGATCCATGTTTCGTTTGAGCTCAAGCTGATTGACTGGCCGCCTGATTCTCCCGCGAAAAGGACGGGGACCTTCCCCTTTCCGTAGAGTAAAATGGGAAACCCAACATGAATAGATGCAATAAGTGTGCAATGTACAAAACCGGGGTATTTTAGATATTTTCAAACTAGGAGGATGGGATTTTTCTATGGATTGTTCAACCATCTTTTGGATGGTCTTTCACAGATATTTTGGAGGTTGGAGGTCTCTTGGGACCACCAGGCCATTTTGAATCGTGGCATATCGTGGCACTGCATGTCTCTTAGCCGATTCTCGCAGAAATTGAATGATGATACAATGTGGGGCCCCCGAATGATAGCTAAGTTGGTGAACATAACTCCAATAACTATGGTTTACGGCTTACAATACTTACAACTACAGTTAATGGGGTGACGAATTATAGAACGGAAGTTGAGGAGGACGAAGGTACGGTTATTTACCGTACCCTGTTGTTCTATAATTCTGTTTTCCTCGGAAGGTATGAAAAAAAAATGTATCTGATCTTCCTCCTATTTTTTTTCGTCGTTCTATAATTCTTGTCGGAGCGCTGTTGTTCTATAATTCTGTTTTCCCCCATTTTTCTCACATTTCCCATTTTCGTTCTATAATTATGTTTCCCGGGCCCCGTTCTATAATTAATTTTTCCGTCGAACGGAAAAATTAATTATAGAACGGAAAAATCAATTATAGAATTATAGAACCTCTTCCGGGGTCCCAGAAATCCTATAAAATCACCATGAAATCTAAGAAAATCACCGTGAAATCCCATAAAATTACCATGAAATCCCATAAAATTACCATGAAATCTTATAAAATCACCATGAAATCTAAGAAAATCACCTGGTAAATGTGGGAAAAATGGGGGAACACAGAATTATAGAACGGAAGTTGAGGAGTACGAAGGTACGGTTATTTACCGTACCCTGTTGTTCTATAATTCTGTTTTCCTCGGAAGGTAGAAAAAAAACGTATCTGAATTTACTCCTAGCTTTTCTCGTCGTTCTATAATTCTTGTCGGAGCGCTATTGTTCTATAATTCTGTTTCCCCCCATTTTTCCCACATTTCCCATTATCCTCATGTTACAGCATCCTCATTTTATCCTCGTTTCCTCATCAAATCCTCATTTTATCATCATTTTATCTTCATTTCCTTATCAAATCCTCATTAAATCCTCATTAAATCTGCATTTTATCCTCATTTCCTCATCAAATCCCCATTAAATCCTCATTTTATCCGCGTTTTATTATCATTTCCTCATCAAATCCTCATTTTATCTTCATTTTATCTTCATTTTATCTTCATTTTCTCATCAAATCCTCATTAAATCCTGATTAAATCCTCATTTTATGTTCATTTTATCTTTATTTTATCATCATTTCCTCATCAAATCCTCATTTTATCTTCATTTTCCTCATTTTATCCTCATTTTATCCTCGTTTCCTCATCAAATCTTCATTTTATCTGCATTTTATCTTCATTTCCTCATCAAATCCTCATTAAATCCTCATTAAATCTTCATTTTATAGATTGTATATGATATACTGTATATGTACAAATATGCAGTAAATATCATGTCAGTGCCAGAAATTATAGAACGGAGCCAGGAGGACAAAAGTACTGTAAAATACCGTACCTTTGTCCTCCTCCCCGTTCTATAATTAAATTTCCCGACTCCGCTCCGAATCGGAACCCGGAGGAGGACAAAGGTACGGTATTTTACCGTACTTTTGTCCTCCTGGCTCCGTTCTATAATTCTGGCACTGACTGCAAACTAAAACCACTCATAGCCGGGGGGCACCACATTGTGGGCTGCTCCATTTTGCATTTTTGGACCAGACCACTCTGTTGATGTTCGAACTTGTCGTATTTGGTTTTGAAGAGCCCATCCGCCCTACAGTAGCTACTCGACACCCACTTGGAACGTCTGGTTTGAGCACTGGATTTGCTGGTTCTTGAGTTTTGTCAACGGGGTGATTTCTTCAAAACCACCAAATTTGATGATTTATGATCAGTTTTCCATATCATTTGGTGGCCAAAACTGGGGTGTTCCCAAGGTTCGAGGCACACCTACATATATGATCGACTGTGGCATCAGTGATGATGTTTGGTTGGTGGTTTCATTCGTTTCGTTCATTTACGCCCATGTGTGTGCATATATAGTCCATATATAGATAGATCTTCCAATTTTTAATCCTTGTTTGGCAATCTAAGACGGAAATGATCCACCTCCTGTTTTCCCAGTAAAAATGGTTGTTTTCGACTGCCAGATTTGATGAAAAGAGGAGCATTCAAACATATTCAAACATATTCAAACATATTCAAACATATCCAAACATATTCAAACATATTCAATCGGACTGTTATATTTTCATGCCCCCATTAGCCAGCAGCTTCCGAATGTGTGTCCGCTACATTTTCTGCAGGAGAAATGTTGTCTTCCATCGTGCGACGTTTGCCGGTGCAGGTCTCTCAACGGAAAATGTGGGTGGCTGTCAACGCCCTCCCCGGCGGTCAGTTGGAGAAAAAGAGAGTATCCTGTTTATGAAGCTATCAAATATGGGAACCAAGTATATAGCCTATAGTAACCCATGGTAACCCCAAGAATCGGTAGATGATGGTATAGGCAAGCATCCAACATAGAGGATTCACGATCAGTCCAACATGTTGTAACAATATTTCTGGATATTTCTGTGATATGAGGCAACACTATTTCTGGGATACAAGGCAATGCAACAATATTTCTGGGATATGAGGCACCTTTAGGTTTTGACCCACTGCTATCTACCAAGACACTCTTGAAATTGGCGTCCAGCGGACACGACTACAGAGTGTGAGAGAGAGAGAGAGAGAGCAAGAAAGGAGGAAGAACATATTTGAAGGATAGGGCTGGACAATTTACCACTGCTAAATTCTACTGCTTGGTGAAACAACAATTTTGGACACCCCACCTGTATATCTGGCGCTTCATTCTAAATATATCCTGGTCGGTGGTTCACCCAGCACTCAACAAGACGTGTGACTTTCGGTGACTAAGAAGCCACTCAGAAGCTCATGCATTCGAAACATCAGTTGGAATTTTCAGATGCAATCCAGTAAAGTCTATGCAACAGACTGTGTTGGGAAAGGGGCATCTGAATGTCATCATCCCAAATGACAGCACAGACATCTATATTGGATTATACCTAGATAGCAAATGATAGTAATGTAACTGATTGCAATTCATTCATAGGTTTTAGTAAATATAACAGCAATCAAAAGAAGAACACATGTTTCTTAGTAGGACTTACAAAGATATTATAGCAACATAAGAAAAGAACATGTTTGACATGACATGAGTCGTGTATTCTTGCTGGATGGACGCCGAAGTTCTGGAAGTCCAGCACCATTGGGACCATGCTGCCGCCGCGTCTGCCGGCTGCTGCACGATCACCGTCATCCTCCGCCCTGCGAGGCAGTGGAGGCAGTGGAGGCATTGGAGGCAGCGTGGGATTTCATGGGGACATGTAATGACATGTACAAGTTTTCCATATTTTTTTTTTCAAACAACTTTTAGGTTTATGAATCGTTAAATGGGGACAAATTTGGATCAGTTGACCAGCTGAAAATCGGGATGCGGGGACCAACAAAAAACCGACAAACAGTTGATATCAGGGGTATGGATAGCCCCTACAGATTCCCAACAGTTTGAACACTGATTTCCAATCCGTTGGAATTGTGGGCGTGAAATTCTCAGAACCGATCTGCTTGGGGAGGGGAACTGGGATGATGTTTTCTGTCGGACGAAACAGTCAGCTGAGCAGTGGCTGCGGTCTACCCCTGTTGGTTGATGATTACGGGGGTCATACTACTATCTTGGGGTTGTCAGTACGGGAACCTCCATCAATACAGCAGTAAAATTAATGACATCTCAGGATTTGAACACAGCTTAGTTGCTCTCAGTTTCTGCCCAGGTGCTCCGAAGGCTCGCACTTCAGCCAGGACGCCTCAAGTCCAGCCGACGGAGTCAGGTGGCTGCGATGGCCATGGCCAGGTGACGGAGGTCATGGAGACTGAGTTGGATCAAATCCAGTCAGAGATCACGCGGCTGCAGGCGGAGAATGCCTCTCTGAGGCAGTTGCTGAAAGCAAGGCCTAGGTCGTGGAAAGCTCTTCTGGAGGAGTTACCCAATGGATATGATGTGGCACCGGACCATTTGCAGATCCAGTGCTTAAAGGAAGAACTCTGCAACACAGTGGAGCGGAGACGCAGGCTGGAGCACGCGGTGCGGGCGCGACACCAGGGCTTGCAGCGGGCGATGTGTTCTGAAGGAAGGGCGCCTGGGCTTGAGCTGTCGACGTGTTTGCATAGGGTTTTCTTATTGTCCCTCTTGGGAAAGATGATCCCAGGCGGCCGAAACCAAGTGCTTGTGTGTGCCCTTCCAGCTATTTTCAGTGTGGCGGAGCTTTGCTTTCGCGCACGAAACGGCAGAATTAGGTGTAACACTAGGTCACTAGGTAGTCGTGCTTGAAGAAACAAGGTAGGTATTATATATAAGATCAAATACTTTAAGATGCAGGAAAGTAAGCGGCGTTGGAAAACGAGGTCAGTGATCAAAACGAGGTCAGGAATGGAAACCAAGCTAGAGTCCGCTTCGTGCTTGTAGTAACCCCAAATCATTTCTGTTGCTCACATATGTCTCCATCAGCGGTTTTGTGGATTTGTCCAAAAGGTCCCAACCAACTATCCCAAACCAGTGCCCAGTGACATCTAGTGAATCTAGTGACATGTTACTAGTATGAAGCAAAAGCGGAAAACGATGGGCAAAATTGGGCAAATGACCCAAGGAATCCCTGCAGCAAGCGCTGGCAGATGGAGCTGCTATGGTGGAAGCGGAGCGCTTACAGGAGCAAAGTGGCCATGAGGCCGGCCGCAGCCAATCCAGGGGCCGTCGGCCCAGCCCTGGTGGGCACCATGGGGTTCCTCAACCGCGAAGATCGTGGCGTCTTGGCGGCCCTGGTTGATGGTGTCTATGAGAGCCATCGGGCCATCGGGCCATACGGCTAAATCATGATGGTTAATGTTAATGATGGTTAATTCATGAAAAGCTATGGTTAAAATTAGTGGTTCCACACTGTGATCTTCATGAATTTTCCTGGCTCTGCGAGTCTGTGCGGCTTGGCCTTGCCACTCCAAACAGGACAGCTTCTGAAGTGCTTGATGTGGAGCAGCTCGTCTTTGACACCGCCATGTCCTTGATGGCCGTTGATGGCTGGGCACAGCAATTGGCTGCGCGTTTGCGTGTGGCCTCCAGAGACCTCCTGCGCCATGCGCGGGACCTACCCGAAAGTAAAGTCTCCACTGCTGCTCTGCGCAGGAAACTGCGGCGACACCAGGTCTTTCATCAGACGGCAGTGGTTGGTGCAGAAATGCAGGAGACAGGGCCTGTTGCTCAGGCGGCTGATGGCGGCTGGCATTTGTTTGTGTGGGTGGATGTGATGTTCCTTTCCAATCCGTTTTGTTTGCTCGAGATTCAACTTGTAGATGGCAGATATTTCAGAGATGAAAGTTCGAAACATGTGAGCATCACAGCTCCCTGGAATTGTGCTCGCATTTCTGCATGGGTGATTTGATCAGATGGCATCAGCAGCGATTGTTTTCAGTACTTTAGGATGCTCATCTACATCACCATATTTGTCTGGTTGTTGGTTTCAAAATGTTTTATTTTCCATAATATGTGGGATAATCCTTCCCATTGACTTTCATATTTATCAAGATGGTTAAATCCACCAACCAGTTGTAAGTAGTGCAGTGCATGCTCTTTTTGATGGACACATTCCTCCTTCCCGTAGAGTGGGGAAATATGGGATAGCCAGATGTAATCAGAATTAATCAGATCAATCATCGAAGCAAGATATGGGATAATCAGATGTTATCAGATGATATATCGCAACCCCCCCATCAGGGTAGGAAAGTAATTTATCACAATTCTCTTGGATGGGAATTTGTTTTTCATTTTTTTTTGGGAGTTACTATGATCATCTATTCCGTCCAGTAAACAAACGCGGCAATTGAAACTCACCCGCTTGCAGATGTTGCCACTTTTGAATTAGCGGAGGGTATTATAGTTTCGATTCGTGATTTTCGGTGAAATGTTGATAACTCACATGGAATATGAATCAATATGATGGATATTGATGGATCATGTTAGAGTTTCCTAATGATCATCTATTAAAATGGGTGATTTTCCCTCCTAGAAACCTCCATTTATAGCTGAAATCTCAAACTAACACGCCAGGCTCCGGTGGAACTGCCCAACGCCGTGTTGAAAGCCTTGGGGGAAGCCTTGGAGGTTTCGGTTCGGGGATGGATGGGTTTTTCCCCTGGTTTTTCCCAGCTGTGTTTGCTCCATTGGAGGATGGTTAAAAAATGTTAAAAATCGATGATTACCGAATATTGAGGGTTTAGGGTGATATAAAAAACCACATGGTTTGAGTTTGATGTTTTTTTTTTTGCATTGGGTTCGATGATATTTTCCATTAAGGATCGTTTTCCCCATTCTAATCTATAGTAAGATGATTTTTTTCCAGCTGAAAGGCTGAAGCCTTCATATTGATGGAAATTTTCCAGCCACGGCAATGATGATGACACGTTTCGGGTAGGGAAAATAGGGGTAACATGGGGTAACTATAATTAGAAATCCATGGGGTTTATAGTAGTTATAGTAGTAGTCATAGCATGTATAGGCATAGGGTTCCTATACTTATAGTTAACCCAATTACTATAGCCGTAATGAGTTCCTATAATTCGGTTTATAATCGTGGGCAGTGATAGGAGAACTATACCATAATTATAATATTATGAGAACATGGATGATTTACCATCGGGATCCGTTGGGTAATTTTTGTTAACTGGAAGCCATGGCCCAGGAATATTTCGATGATTTTACCTGCCAATTTAATGGTGACTTTCCATGGATTCCATAACGATTTCAAAATTTTCAAATTGCAAGAGGGTATCTGCTTGCAACCAGTTAAACATGATTGATGGACATTTGATATGACTAACCACTGGGCAAGTGACATGTCCATCCCATCATATTTCCAGGTATGCCGATGGCACCCTGCAACAATCTGACAGTTTCCATGGTATTGACCCGCCCAATAGAATCAAATAGACATATAATTTATCATCTTCAAACAGATAGAGAATTGTGATTTATTGCATGTTATACCATGTTATACCTTTCTTTTTTTGGTACTATATTTCAAGAGATACTTCAACAAAAACAAGGGCTGCCATGGCCACATGATCCGGATGAATTAGATCTCGGGAATCGTAATCCATAGCTGGGCCGTATGATATCAGCGATTTTGTCAGGTTTGTGAAGAATCAGAATTCAGATTCATATGGCTTTATCATCAATCAATGATCAAAAATCCTCCATTCACAATAATCTATAGAATCTATAGATCAGTTTCCCATTCAAACCTCTAACAAAAAGGGGCATTTCTGGATGATATCCGCATCATCATCAGCATCAATTAATAATCTGAGACTTTGGGATAAATTTAGAGACTACCATGATCTCCAATCACTCCCATCCATCATCCTTCCATAGTTGGTGAACTCCTCCAATTCCTCACGATCAACCCCATTTATGAGCTTTAGTCTGCCCTCCGGGAATCATAACGTAGCAATCGAACCTCCCTCATTTATAATACCCTCTGGTAAACGTTTACATAATTATGGAAAATCACCATGTTTAAGGGGAAAACTCACTATTTCTATGGCCATTTTCAATAGCTTTTTGTATGTTTTACCAGAGGGTATAATATTTATAGATGATTTTCCCAGCTAGAAACCGCCATTTTTGGGGGATTTCCCGGCCAGCCAAACTCTGCCGTCCCGCGAGAGGCGGCCAAGAGCGAGCGTGCAGCGAGGCAGGAAGTGGAGACGTTGGTGGCAAGGTCTCTGGAGCTTTTGGCACCATGTCTTTGAACTCCAGATGAACTCCTCCAAATCGGAGATCATCTGAGATCATATAGAGAAATCATCCGAAAAATCTAGAATTCGAGATATATGGTGATAATCATAGGCTTTCAAAAAAATACGGGAACCATCAAATCCATTCATATTCCCCAGTGAAAATTGTGATTTTTGGGTACACCCCGTTTTCAGACGCACTTATTTTGAAGCTGCCAATTGAGCAGCGGCTGCGAAACCACGGTTGGTGTTTAAGCTTAATTCGGGGGTGGTAATATATATATATATATATTTGCGATATTATCATGAATCATAATTATCCACGAGCTGGGAACCCCTATTGACATCTGTTAACCATTGTTAACCAACGAGGTGAGCTGCCAATCTAGCTTGATGCCCTGCAAATACATTGGAACATTCTGGAATCATTCTCAGTTTTTGAGAACAAAGCTGACTATGCCGAAGGACACGACAACGATAGCACTAGAGATCCCAAGCATTTCATGTCGTCATGAGTGGTCGGATACACACGTATGCGGGTATAGATATGTATTCAGGTGCATCTTTACATGCATGTGTGGTTTCTTGCTGTGTCTAGACTATTTGTCCATTTATCATCATTTATCCATCTATCCATTCATCCATCTACCCTCTAGTAATTGCGATACTTAAGGCCAAAGATACGGACCTCTGGTAATCCAACAGTTTGCTATGGAAAATGGACCATTTCGCTCGAGGATTTCCATGATTTCCCGACTATGCCGAGGCAGATTGGGCAACAACCCTTTGGGCTGCCAGAGCCGCTTGGTGGATGTGACGTTGTATCTACCATCTGGTTATTTAACATAGCCATGGAAAATGGCCCATTTATAGATGGTTTACCTGGGTTTATCTATTAAGAATGGTGATTTTCCATGGCTATGTTAAATAACCACAGGGTAAATGTTCATGAATGTTCATGATTTTTTTTTATAGGTTTTCCACTCAAAGATATGGGTGATATATGAAGGTTTCCACAAATGCGAGGGTACCCCAAAATGGATGGTTTTATCATGGAAGAATCCATGAAACTCCTATTAAGATGGATGAGTTGGGGGTACCACTATTTTAGGACACCTTTATAATTACATACATATATATATATATAAACGTATATATATATATATATACATAATTACATATATATATAAACGTATATATATATACATAATTACATATATATATATAAACGTATATATATATATACATACATAATTATATATATATAGATATATATAAACGTATATATATATACATAATTACATATATATATAAACGTATATATATATATACATACATAATTACATATATATATATATAAACGTATATATATATATATACATAATTACATATATATATATATTAACGTATATATATATACATAATTACATATATATATAAACGTATATATATATATATACATATATATATACATAAACATATATATAAACGTATATATATATACACATAATTACATATATATATATAAACGTATATATATATACATAATTACATATATATATAAACGTATATATATATATACATAATTACATATATATACATATATAAACGTATATATATATATATACATACATAATTACATATATATATATATAAACGTATATATATATACACATAATTACATATATATATATATAAACGTATAAACGTATATATATATACATAATTACATATATATATATATAAACGTATATATATATATACATAATTACATATATATATATATAAACGTATATATATATACATAATTACATATATATATATAAACGTATATATATATATATACATAATTACACACACATATATATATATATATATCAGTTGTCATGTTGATCAGTTTTTTTACTTCTTGCCATTTCATTTTAAGCGACGGTGAGCCAAGGCTGGTGTCGAGAAAGCGGATGGAAAAAGACACACTTGGGCCGTTGGGATTAATGGTGCTTTAATGGTGCTTTAACCATGAAAAATGGTGGTTTAATGGTGGTTTAACCAAAGAAAATGAGGATTTTAACGGGATTTCTATATGATTAATGTGGGTAAAACAAGAAAGCACCCATTTGGGAATGGTTGGAAGTCCACCTATTTATGGTGATTTGGGGCATAGTTTATTATTGTTTTACTCACATAAATGGGTAATAACCATGGTAATGATATGTATTGTAGTTGATAACCAGCATAAGTTGGGATATGGTAGCTATATTATATGGTTATATTAGGAAAATCCATTTGGAACTGCACCTTTCACGTATTAAATTGAGTTTCCCCAACCACATGATTCAGAATGAATTATGCTTCATGCTGCCACCATGACTAGGTTGGTAAAGGACATCTTTCTATTTCGATGTTTCAATCTTACAAAAAGAAGATTCCATCATAAAATACAGGTGCTCCTTAAAAAAAAAAGCGTTAAAATAACAATTCTTCTTGGTTTTATAGTTTGGAACACCCCATATGTTGCCTGGTCGATTCCACCTCGCTAGGCCACGCTCCGTCCAGCCGTGCGCTTCCATTGCCAGGTGATTTTTGGGGGGTTTGGGTGGTGCCCCCCAGTGAATGATGTTGATTTATAATCCCCTTTAGCGAAAAAGCAGTGTTCTCCATAAAGCCTAGTTATTGGACTAACAAACCAACTTCGTCAACTATGGGGCCCCATCCTGTGTATTTTTCGGGGATGGAGGGTTTTAAAGAAGGAACAAATCTGCACTGTTGGAGATGTTTTGTCAATATCAATTCACAGCTAGATTTCTACAATCTAAATAGTAGCAACGACATATTCATCAGCTGTTTCCCCAGCATTAATATCCTATTTAATATATCATTACTGTATATATCATTAATATCTCATTCCCCTCACATACCCCATTGGTTCTATCATACTAATATCTGATTTCAACCATCTAAACATAGTACCAACGACATATTACTCATTTGATGATCATCATAGTATCTTCAGTGCACATCCCCATCATTTCACCACTTTCACCATATCCTACTAATACACATTTAATTTGTAATATCCCAATACTAAAATCCCACAAATTTCTCCATCATATTATCAGGAAAACTTGCTTGCCTGCGGCAAGCCCGCTGGCCATAGAGAGGTGGCCCCAAGGGAGTTTGATGTGCACTCTAGGTGGAAGCCGGAGAGAGAAGCATAAGAGAAGAGAAGAGAAGAGGAGAGGAGAGGAGAGGAGAGGGAGAAGGAGAAGGAGAAGGAGAAGGAGGAGGAGGAGAAGGAGAAGGAGAAGGAGGAGAAGGAGAAGGAGAAGGAGGAGAAGGAGAAGGAGAAGGAGAAGGAGAAGGAGACGAAGAAGGAGAAGAAGAAGAAGAAGAAGAAGAGGAAGAAGGGGAGACAAAGACAGAGCCGTAAAACGGAAGTAGCTTGTGTAGCAAGTGCTTGCCGTAACAACCTATTGACAGTATACCGACCCCACAAAGTAGCGCCAGGTACTATGTACGAGCCTCCAGCTTGACAGCAGACCACTGCATGGAAGGGGACAGGGTGGAAGCGGAGAGAGGTTGCCCCAAGGGAGGTTGATGCGCACGCTAGGTGGAAGCCGGAGAAGAAGAAGAAGAAGAAGAAGACAGAGCCGTAGATCAGAAGCAGCTTGACTAGCAAGTGCTTACTGCAACAACCTATTCACCGCATACCAAATCAGTACAGGTCGATCAGTTTAGTACCGTGTACATCCTGTGACTAGCACCGGTAGACAGTTTCGCCAGCTACCGTCAATACCGGTTTAGTACGACGACGACGACGACTCCCACTCCCACTCCCACTCCCACTCCCACTCCCACTCCTACTCCCACTCCTTCCTTCTTCTCCAATTAAGTCGGTGTCGTAGTCGTAGTATGTCGTAGTCGTATACGTAGTCGTAGTCGCAGCTGTCGTCGGAGGAGGAGTAGTAGGAGTAGTAGCAGCAGGAACAGCAACACTTACACTGACACGCTGGCAGGACTATCACATTAATACCCCATTGGCATCACATTTCCCCACCATACCTCCATGATCCCACCCTATTCCCATAAGCTTCCCATAGAATAAAGGGCTTTCGCATGGTAGGAATATCACAGCAATATGTTCATGATAGTCAATATCCCCATCACCATCATGGCCAATATCTCCATCACTATCCCCATTACAGAACTATTTTCATTGGGATCATGGTCAATATCCCCCATCACCTCACCATTTTCACCCAGTTTATATGTCAACCCTGGATTAATAAACCCCTAGATTGTTTAATTGGGAGGGTACCATTTACCCTCTGGTAAATAAACATAGACCCTGAAAATCACCAATTTTTAATGGAAAGTAGTCTTCCAACCCCGATGACTGCCAGGGTCGAACTGTTAATTTACCAGAAGGCCTCTGGTAACCTAACATAGCTATGGAAAATCACCATTTTTCATGGGAAAATCCACTATTTCGACTGGGTCATTTTCAATAGCTATTTTGACATTACCAGAGGGTAAATCCCATTAATATCCCATTAAACCACAATAAAACCCCATTAAATCCAACCATTTATGTTAAATTACCAGAGGGTACCATTTAAGCATCACGACTCACCATTTTCACCCTTCGGGCACCGTGGCTCGATCGCCTTCTGCTAGGTGCCCTGCGGAATCTTCACCGATGAGCTCCGCGTGCAGGCCATGATGGAGGACGGCGTCAACTGCCCGGTAAAAATCGAACGAAAGATGGGAAACTCATAGGAAAATGATGGGGAAAACCCATGAAAACCAATCGTTTTACCATTTTTAATGGGATAGTGATGAGATAATGATGGGAACATAAGCATCATTCAACTAGAAAATAGGGATTTAACCATGCATTAATGGGATAATTGATGGGATAATGATGGGAATATAAGCATGATGGAGGATCAATGGGAATCTTGATGGTGACAAGAATGGGGATAGTACCTACCGGTGTCATCAAACAAGGCTAGCTGGGAAGTCCCCATGAAAAATGGAGGTTTCTAGCTGGGGAAATCATCGAAGTAAATGGTGGGTGTTCCATTAGATTACTGGAGGGTATATAGGTGACAAATAACGATTGGTTACTCTAGATGTGATCACTTCAGTAGGGTTCTTAACACTCGAAAACATGGGATGATATCGGGATATAAAAGATGGTTGATTGGTGACAGTTTGTCTGAGAACTAGGGGAGTTACATCTTAAAGCGTGATAGTCATAGTTGATCATACTAGAGCGTTTTAGCATGTTTTAGCCATCAAACAAACCGGGATAGAATTGATACACGGTGGTTGGTTGATGTTCTTTTTTTCCTTCGAGGGTTGGACCCTTTTTATGAGCGGGGAATCCCCTTTAACCAACCCTTATTTGGCGAAAAGATTTGGCTCAAACATCAGGCGATCGTAAACTAGTTGCCTAGTCATGGGCTGGTATTTAGATGTATATGAGTATGATCAAAGTTTCCAACTAGTAAAGCAGCAGCTTCCAAACAGTTTCATATTGGCTAATTACATTTGGCTATTTCCAGCCTAACTGAGCTTAACTAAGCTTCAGATTGGGAAACTAGTATCCAGATATATCCAGATTGTCTCCAATATTGCATTTGAAAGGGGTTCGATCATAATTTCCCCTCTTTATTTACTTATTTTCCGACATGTATGATACAAAGATGCCACCCTGAACTCCCCCCCATGGAAATCTCCCATCAATACAACCAATGAGGGTTTGTTGAAAAACGCGGGTGCACACACACACATAAACCATATCTATATCTATATCTATATCTATAAATCTATATATCTATATATCTATATATCTATATATCTATATCTCTATATCTCTATATGTATATCTATATCTCTATATCTCTATGTCTATATCTATATATTTATATATCTATATATCTATATATATATCTATATATCTATATATCTATATATCTATATATCTATATATCTATATATCTATATGTCTATATATCTATATATCTATATATCTATATATCTATATCTCTATATCTCTATATCTCTATATCTCTATATTTAAATATCTGTATATCTATTTATCTATATATCTATATATCTATATCTATATATATATGTATATCTGTATATCTATAATCTATATCTATCTATATATACCCATTGGTGTAGAAAATTACTCCAAGCCATTGTGGGTCACCCATCAAACCATTTTAGGGCGAGATTTTAATTCCAAATTTATTTCCATTAGGGATTTAGGGCTAATGGACTCCAATTCCATTCCATCCACACTTATGGATACTTATGGCTGGTTTCCCTTATTTTTGTTGGTTAAATCATGTTAAATCCACAGATTGATGAATTTGATCATGCCCTCATGTCGCCGGTTCGGATTGGGTTAACTATCCCAAAATGACTGAACTTTTCAGGTTAGTTATCAGCTACTGTATCCATACATCCGTACTATTGATCACCATTACTGCAATCACCATTCGATCACCAGATTGCTTCTACCCAGGTATATTCAGCAATATTAATCAAAACTTATCTAGCTATACCCATGACTGACCATAGGTAAATTTACCAAATATACGTAGCCTGGTTATAAAAATATGTTCGAACCCCCATGATTAACCACAGAACCAATAAATACCCGTATATGCATGATTGACCATCGATATATTCAGTATTCCCAAAAGATGTGGATATACCCATCAAAAACCATAGATAAACAATAGGAAAACATATCTTGGACGCACCCATTCATAGATGAACCCATTAAACCATAGATGAACAATAGATATACCGATATACCCTTAAGTTCTTCTTGTTAATCTCCCAAAGATCAGGACGCCTCAACCATCCGCAAGTCCGTTGTCCAAGCACAGGAACTCCACAAGGCGCGAACGCGGGGGGATTGGAAAGGATCGGAGTGGACTGCCATCTCGGGCCGGTCCGAAAAATGGAGGTTTTAACCATCTTTAAAAATGTGTGTTTGAGGGGAATAACCATTTCAAACCATCTTGAACAATCTTTAACCATCTTAAAACACCCTAAGCAATCTTCAACAATGTTGAACCGTTTTTGAGCAGTTTTTAACATTTTTTAAAACCATTTTAAAACAATTTTTGACCATCTTCAACCATTATTAACCATCCTTAACCACCTTTAACCATCTTACCATCTTTAACCATCCTTAACAATCTTCAACAATGTTTAACAATTTTTAACCATCCTTAGCTATCGTTAACAATCGTTAACCATCGTTAACCATCTTTAAGCATCTTTAACCATGTTTAACCATCTTTCACCAACAAATCCCAATGAAAAATGGAAGGTGTCAGATGTTTTTAACATGTTTTTACCAACAAAAACTAGGTGTTCTGTTTAAAAAAAGAGACGTGTTGCGTTTTTTTTTTGGAACCATATGTGAGCTGTGAAATGGGTATGGTAGTTCTCAACCAAACGTATGGGGATGGAAGAAGGGGGTATCACTGTATCACGGGATAAGTTGAACCCCAAACATGATATCAGATACAGGATTACCCGGCGAACATGGGAAGTCAAGTTTCAACTAGCTGGGACTTAACCAATGATGGGCACGGTTTTGGGATAGAACCGCGGTAGATCAGCAAGCATAGCCAACTTCTGGCTCGGTCCAGACATGGGCATTATTAAGCCATCTGCTAATTTCACATCGCCGAATGGACACTATGGCCCATTTATGGATGATTTATGGATGATTTACCTAGTATTTTAATATATTCTAATTGTAACCAGTTTGCCAAACTCCTACATTACCGGAGGGGAATGAGGGGAATGGGGAACGTGATGGCGAACCCGAAATCCGTGGCAACCACAGTGCCTCCGCTTGGTTGAGCACCCGAGATCGAAGGCTGGAGCACTGCAAGACATTCATCAGCTCTCGCCTTGAGTTTTTTTCGTTTTGGGCTGTGGGTCATGGGTTGGTTCAGTGCATTAGGTGTGTCTGAAAATGGGATATACCCCCAATTATGGCCATCAAATGATAGGAAAAAACATGAAAAAAAAATGATAAAGTGATAATGCCATCGGTATTTGAGGTTTCCCCATCATTTTCAGACAACATATATTTAGTGCCATTAAAAAAACGCGATTTTTTCGAGGATTTCTGCCGCATCTCTGGGCCGTGGGTGCCAAGGATGGTGCGTTGGATTGCCACAAAGGAGGAACATGCCCAGAAGATCATGACCACCACCGTGCCGGTGGCTGCAAGAAAGGGCACAAGCGTAGCCTGTGCTATCTGTGCTGATGCGGAAGTGGCAGCAAGTTCATGTCCAAACTCGCACACCCACACATTTATTCGTATATATATCACACACACACACACACATATATATATATATATCAAATATATTTTTATCACACATACATACATACATACATACATACATACATACATACACACATTACATTAAAGTACGTTACATTACATTACATTACATATCATAACAAACAAACATACATACATACTTACATTACATTACAGTACAGTACAGTACATTACATTACATTACATACCATCACATACCAGTACATACCATTACATACCATTCCATACCATTACATACCATTACATACCATTACATGCCATTACATGCCATTACATGCCATTACATGCCATTACATACCATTACATATCATTACATACCATTACATACCATTACATACCATTACATACCATCACATACCATGACATACCACGACATACCATGACATACCATTACATACCATCACATACCATCACATACCATCACATACCACTACATACCACTACATACCACTACATACCATTACATACCGTTACATACCGTTACATACCATTACATACCATTACATGCCATTACATGCCACTACATGCCATTACATGCCATTACATACCATTACATACCATTACATACATACACATACACACACATACATACACATACATGCATACATACATACAGACATACAGACATACAGACATACAGACATACAGACATACAGACATACAGACATACAGACATACAGACATACAGACATACAGACATACAGACATACAGACATACAGACATACAGACATACAGACATACCGACATACAGACATACAGGCATGCAGACATACAGACATGCAGACATACAGACATACAGACATACAGACATACAGGCATACAGGCATACAGACATACAGACATACAGACATACAGACATACAGACATACAGACATACAGACATACAGACATACAGACATACAGACATACAGACATACATACATACATACATACATACATTATTTAAATATATATGTATATATATGTATATATCATTTTTATGATTATATGTGTATCTATTTGAGGGGAGAGAGAGAGGGAAAGAGAGAGAGAGTGAGAAAGAGAGCCAACCTAGACAAGTTAGCACCTATTCTTGCAAGGGGACCCATTGCAATTCTCGCTGTCAAACCTGGTGGATATGCTCGCAGCTGATTTAGCCTGTGTGTGGATCCACAATGCAGCTCAGGCTGACTATTTTCTGGCACAAAAGGCTCAGTGTTACCGTTCTGGCACAAACAGTGGCAAAATTGCTAGCAGGGAAAAGAAAGATGGATGGGGAAGGATTTAGGTATTTGGGTGAATATTTGCCGTCACCCCAAGTATTCCAACAATATTCCAAGAATTCCAAGAGGCGTCGTTTCACCCACATTTTTCACCGAACTGAAAACGCACACCGAACGGTGAAACTCACAGCTCCATCCCCTGGGATGACAGGTGAAGAAGGCTGACTTGGATCAAGACGAGTACTTGAAGCGCTTGGCTCTTCATCATGACGTGATGGTACTCCTGGCCAAGAGCATGACGCGATGTTGCAACATGTAGGGTGTCGTTTGCCGGGGAGCAGGCAATGTTACCAGTAAAAATTGTTCCAAACCGTTGCAGATAGAAATGCACAAGTATATACAAGTATGCACAAATTTCACTTCTGATAAATATCTCGAAAATAATTGAAAGTCTCGGCATATGCGACAAACCCAACATGTTGCAACAAGATTTGGAGATCATGTCCCTGCTTGATTTTGATTAGTTCTTTACACTGCCGCTGTGAATGGTTTTGACATGTTTTGACTGAATTTGAACAACCTATTCCCACTTTTTCCCTGGCGATTTGGAATGATCACCCCCCTGACGTTGCTTCGTCGCGGTGACGCCTCCTTTCCCGAGTTCCCTGACTCGACCATGGGCACTGCGCCAGGTGGCGGCCATGAAAGCGAAGCAATCCTCAGAGCTGGGTCCAGTGGACACACTGGATGCTGCGATCCAGGCGCTTTTTTCAAGCGGATCGGCTGCAGTTTGAATGCTGAGTCATGTTGAGACGTTGCGAAGTCACCACAGGGAGTGGCTTGAAATGGCTTGAAATATGTTTTACCGGAGATGGGGTATCCATCACCAGTATTTGCAGGCCTTGGCGCCCATCTACTCCAAGTGAAGGCTGCCAGAGCCTAACTGAGCCTTCCTCCGATCTCATGGCGCCGCGCCACGTGATCAGAAGCATGTTTGGAACTCACTGCTTTGGGGTGCAGTTGATGAATACAATGGATATAACTTGATATAACCATGGGATTTGAATCCCCACGAAATAGGATAGGACACAACGAGCAAAACACTGATGACTACAGTATAATAACTCCACTTAGTTCACTCGAACTGCACCCAAACAGCGGAGGAAGGCCAGTAAGAACTGCTGCAAACAGAAATCACAGTCAGAAGACCCCTTGCTTTGGGGCGTGCGGCTCCGCACGTGCGTCACGTGCGTCCCCCCTTTGGAGAAATGGCTGGGGGGGCCGACTGACGCTGGATCCAGGTAGAGATGGCATGATTTCTTCTATATTTGGCTGCAACTTCCAAAAGGTAACTGATTAAGGAACTTCTTGACTATATGCAGGTGACTAGAACTAAGTGAAGCAGAGTGACGGAGGCATGACTTGTACTGAGACTCGCTTTTGCCTTTGATTCAGCTTCTTAGTGGAAACCCTGAGTCTTAGTGTGTTGGGATGTGTGTGAGTGCCTTGCGTAAGCCTCTGTGTCCTGCATGATGCATGCAAGACCTTCGCGGCTCCAATTTTGCCGGATTTTCTACGGGTTGACTGATTTGGCTCAAGCACAGCAACATTTTCTGTAACGATGAATCTTTTGAGGGCCCTTCCTGCACTTCTGTCCCTGGCGTTTGCACAAGAGTCCGAGGAGGCACAGGGGCCACCGGACTTTGACGAGCTCATGTCGCAGGTGGGATGAAACTTCCTTAAATGTTGATTTTTTGCCAAGAAACCGTCTGCAGTATCTTCTAGTAGCTTGATGTAGATCTTGTAGTTTTGTGACGTTCACCTCCTCCAAAACAAGCCTTTTAAGTGTCCATTGCTACGGTGGAACCAGCCCAGAACCAGCTCAGGTGGACACGGATAAGGATGGCAAAATGTCTTGGTCGGAAGTGCTGGACATTTTTGAAGGTCCGGAGCATGTGGAGCAGCAGTACATGGAGGCCTTTGCCGAGTGCGATAAGGACGATGATCTGCTCATCAGCCGAGAGGAACTGCCGACCTTCTTCGACAAGATGCATTCCATACTTCAGGAAGAGGACAAAAAGATGGGAACAAAACCATCAGGAAAGGAGGATCTGTAAATTTGGCGGAAAAAAAGCCGCTCCAAAATAGGCAGACAGCCAAGACCAAGTGACCAAAATAGACAAAAGTGGATCTGTGGTTAAAAGATGTTAAAAGCAGCCGCAAGGAATCTGACTTCCAGTGCCTCCGGGGTTTGATTAGCAACTCTCGACCTTGCATTCAAACATCATGAAAGAACGCGAGAAGGATCCACGGACTGCTTCCCATGACCGAATCCCGCCCACTGGTTGCCATTCTCGGCCCAAGAATGGCATAGTATTTCAACACTGTTAACCAAAGCAGCCAGCCAGGTGGTTTGCCTATAAAATAAAAGTATCTTCTGCGGGCAAGCTTCAGAACCACAGTGAAGCAACCATCTATTTCTGGTTCGTTGGGGAGTGTCAAGGACCTGTCAAGTCTTTGCAGTGCATTTGGAAACATTGTTGAGCGATGACTAAATGTGTCTCTTCAAGCCTGCAAAGAACATCATCGCAGCATAGCTTGACGGTTGTATTCTTGCACGGAGAGCCCGCGCCTGTGTCCATGTCACAGGCGCAGAGAGCGGACGGTCAAAACAGCATCCTCTGGGGGATATCCTCGAGGTTAAATCCTTGGGGTCAGGGAAATCATATTGAAATCATAGGGAACAGGAAGGATATTTGATGCTTTCCTCTAGATTTTCTCGTAGATTTTCCATGATTTTCCCTGATTTTCCAAGCAATTTCATGGTCGCCCAGATGGACCTTCCGGCCGCACCAGCTTTGGACAGGTCCGAGTTTCGGGGGATGAGGATGTGCGAAGTCTGCTATTTCTTTGGCTGTTTTTCATGGTTTTTCCACGTTTTTTCCATGGTTTTTCCATGGTTTTCCTGTTGCTAGTCACTGCTAGTCTATTGATTCTATTGATTCCATGGCAGAACTAAAATTAGTTCAGATAATCTAGGATATTTTTGTTGACTTTTTTTGGCCGTAGGTGGAAAGACATCCCATTGTGCAGGTCCTTTGTGTCTCACACATGGCGCCTGCCGCCTGGACCACGGGGTCAGTCGGGTGTGTCGCAGCGCCACGCGCGAGCATTGTAGGCCATTTGCCGGGAGAGTCGGTCGAAGATCAGCCAATTCGAAGCCCAGTGCCTCGCTGGCAGCGCTTGGTCCATGGCGAAACTTCAGTTGCAGGATATGGCTCTGATGGGCAGCCTGTCTCAGGAAGCCTAGCGGAAGATGAGAGAACAAACTCCACAGGGCCTGTCAAACTTGGCTTGAGCTTGGGGTGTCTTGGCAGTAGCTGACGTGGCACTCTTCTAGGCGATTTCAAGCGCGGTGCAGAAGTGTGGCCAGACATTCGGACCTCAAAGCCTTGCCAATTTGGTTTGGAGTTTTTCCACTGTTGCCATGGCGGACAACAGGTTGCTGAACCTTCTGTGCAGCTTCTCTTCATCGCGCATGTCAGAGTTTTCGCAGCAGAACTTGACCAACAGCGCTTGAGCCTTGGCAAATCTCCAGGCAGGGGTGGTTTTTCGCGTCCCTGAGGTTTCAGGGTCAAACATTGCATGACCCAACTACCCTCTGGTAAACTAACATAGCTATTGAAATGGTGATTTATAGTGGATTTACCCATTAAAAATGGTGATTTTCCATAGTTATGTTAGTTTACCAGAGGGTATTGGGAAACTATGGGAAATCATTGGTGGCGTCATTTCCAACAATCAACGGGCATTGAAAATCATCAAAATCCCAAGCAGGACTTTTACCAACCCCCTGTCCAGGTGCTTCGGGTTCCTTTGATGCTTGCCATTGCAGGTGAAGCCTGGCGTAAGAGCCACGAGCTGCTACCTAGGAGCTTGGCGAATCTGGCGTGGTCCTTTGCCAGCTGTGCCATGTACCATCAGCCCTTGATAGATTTGATCAGCTGCAGGGCTATCAAGCTGAAGCAGGAATTCACATCATAGAACATCTCCAACACTTGTTGGACACTGGCCACCCTTGCAGCCTTGACTTCCATGTTTCTGGTTGAATTCTGTCCTGTGATTCGGGCGACCATCACTGAGTTCTCATCACAGGATGTGTCCAACAGCATTTGGTCCATGGCAAACATAGCACATCAGGAGGTGTCGGTGCTACAGGCCTTGGCCGGAGCAGCTTGTTCCAGATTTCAGGCATCTCAGGCTACAGCACAGGATATTGCCAACAGTGCCTGGGCATTGGCCAAGTTGCTCTTTGTCCATGAGCCATTCTTCCAGCTCGTGGCTGCCATTTCGGAAGAGCACCTCAAGAATTTCCCACCCTAGAACTTGGCAAATATGGCATGGTCCCTTGCCATGGTCTTGTTACAGGACAAGGTCTTCATGTCGCGACTGGCTGCAGCCGCATTTCCCAGCTTGGCGGAGTATCATTCCCAGCACCTGGCGCATATCTTCTGATCTCTTGGCAGCTTGGGCATCATCAATCGGAGCCTTTTGGATGCCTTGGCATACTGGGCGTCCTCCAGGAGACCACTTCTTGATGAAAACTTCTGGAAACTAAAACGACCATCCAATTGGCTGAAGCCTCCAACATGTTGCGGAATCAAAAAAAAGGACGTGTTGAATGTTTTTAGGCAGTCCCTTTCCTTAAATCCTTCAGGATAGAGACCTTCAACTCACAAGAACTGGCCAACAGCTCCTGGGCCTGCGCCAAGTTAGCCTATCTCAATGAATCGCTGTTCAACTCCATCGCCAGCATGTGCCGAGCCGAACAGATCGAGCGGATCGAGCGGATCGAGCGGATCGGCCTTCGCTTCGTTCCACAGGATTTGGCCAACATCGCGTGGACTTTCGCCAAGGCGATCTATGTGAAGGTGCCGGTGCTTGTGGCCCTGTGCAGCAGGGCTGCAGGCTGTATCCAGGAGTTCAACCATCAGGACTTGGCGAATATGGCCTGGGCAATGGCAAATCTCCTGCTGCGAAATGAGAAGCTGATGAGGGCCATTGCTGAGCATGCTGAAGAGAGGCAGGATATGGCAGGATACGGCAGGATAGCTGTCAGAATGACTTGAATCGCTGGGATGTTGACATTTTTTTGAAATATAAACTTAGATAAACTGAGAAGTATGTACACACACACACCCATCATACACATCATACATCTAATTGTAGCTTTATTTAAGTGAGCATTGCAGTATTCCCCTTCTTGAGCACTGCTGGGTGAAGCTGTCAGGATCAGCCAGTTCGAGGGAACAGATTTTTCAAGTACTGCCTGGTCGCTTGCAACACTGCACTTCGAGCATGAGGTGCCACGGTGCCCTTTGCCCATGGAGGATCATCCCATCTAGTAAGTGGTTAGTGCTGGTTAGTAAGTCCCCCAACTAGGGTTACCCCACTATAGATATGATATAATATATATATATTAAAAAAAAAAACGACTATAGTTATATATATATATTTGGGTAAGCCTAGTTATAACATGTTATAGCACCATATAACACCAGTTTTTAAATGCGGTGATCCTCCAAGTAGTTGGGGGTTTCCCCACGCTGGGCCGGCCCAGCACCCCGCACTGCAGGCGCTGCGAAGGGCAATTGCTGAGCAGGCGCTGGGGCCGCTGGGGCAGGCATTCTTGCCTTTTTTTGCTTGTGATGCAGCATGCATCAGCATGCGCAAATGGAGCATTCGCCATTTTAATCATCTGTATGTGCATAATATTGTATAATTTTGATATTCACACACACAGAATATATGTATGTATGTAATGTAATGTAATGTAAGGTAAGGTAAGGTAAGGTAAGGTAAGGTAATGTATGGTATGGTATGGTATGGTATGGTAATGTATGTATGTAATGTAATGTAATGTAATGTAATGTAATGTAATGTAATGTAATGTAATGTATGTAATGTATGTAATGTATGTAATGTATGTATATATGTATGTATGTAATGTATGTATGTAATGTATGTATGTATGTATGTATGTATGTATGTATGTATGTATGTATATATGTATACATATATATATATATACATATATATGATTATGTATACTGGGTGGTTTGTTTGCCCATGCCCCTTTCTCTGCGAGGAATTGGTGTCCAAATTGGCTCAGCCATGGCCGCAGGTGAGGAGCAAGATTTGGTCACTGGGATCTCAGCAGTGGAAGCCTCAAGACGCACTCGCACCGCACCGGGGACGCACCGGGGATTTTGCCAAGTTGACAAAATTGAAGGGTTACCCCCTGATTATTTATATTATTTAACATAGCTATGGAAGTTCACCAGTATTAAAAGCTAAGTCGTCATGGGCCATTATCTATTTCCATGGGCCATGGCTTCCATAGCCATGCCAGCACGACACTCGAACTGCGCGACCGGCGCCACCTCGAGTGGCAAAGGCTGGGGTCTCTGGCCGATCTGAAGCTGGGATGTGATGAGCTCAACGGAGAGGTTCTGAATGATCTATCGGATTTCGTGGAAGAGAGTGGAAGCTACATGAAGATAAACACACACACACAAATAGACAGATCGATAGATAGATAAGATAGAAATATAGAAAACATGATAGATAGATAGACGGATAGACGGATAGACGGATAGACGGATAGATGGATAGATGGATAGACGGATAGATGATAGATGGATAGATGGATGGATGGATAATCAGATAGATAGGTAGATAGATTTGATAGATTAGTTAGATGGATAGATAATTAGATAGATAAAGATAGATGATAGATAGATAGATAGATAGATAGATAGGATAGAATAGGATAGGATAGGATAGGATAGATAGATAGATAGAGATAGATAGATAGATAGAGATAGATAGGATAGATAGGATAGATAGGATAGATAGGATAGATAGGATAGATAGGATAGATAGGATAGATAGGATAGATAGGATAGATAGGATAGATAGCTCTCTAAATCGATGAAGATCGGATAGACTAGGATATGATCAGATAGATCACTATATTCGTCAGACTAATAGCTTCGCTCGAGCATAGCTCGCTCGCTTCGATCGGCTAGATAGCTCGCCGGCTCGCTCGCTCGCTCGATCGATACGCGATAGCGCGCTAGACGCTCTCGCGCTCGCCGGCTCGCCGAGCTAGAGCTCTCGCGCGCTCGCGCGCTCGCGAGCTCGCGCGTCTCGCGCGCTAGCGCGCTCCGCGTCGCGCTCTCGCGCCGCGCTCGCGCTCGCTGTTTTCTCGCTCGCGCTTCTAGACTCTCGCTCTGCTCTCGTTCGCGCTCGCTCGTCGCTCCCTCGCCCCCCTCCTCCGCTCGCTCGGCTCTCTCTTTCGCCCCGCTCGCTTCGCTCGCTCGCTCGCGCTCCTAGATCGATAACATAATAGCGATTAGATCTATAGATCGATTAGATCCTTAGATCCATTAGACAGATTAGATAGATTAGATTAGATTAGATTCGATACATTAGATACATTAGACAGATAGTTAGATATATCAGCTTCCCCTGATAGCGCTCTATTAGTAGATAGCGACTCGCTAAGATTAGGATAGATAGGATAGATAGGATAGATAGATAGCTTGCTCGGTCGCTCGAGATGATAGATAGCTAGATAGATGGACAGATAGATAGATAGATAGACAGATAGATAGCTAGCTAGCTAGCTAGATAGATAGATAGAAAGATATATAGATAGAAAGATAGAAGATAGATAGGTAGATAGGTAGATAGATAGATAGATTAGATAGATTGGATAGATTGGATACATTGGATATATTGGATACTTAGATTGGATAGGTAGGATAGATAGGATCGATTAGATAGATAGGGTATACAGGATCGATAGGATAGATAGGATAGATAGGATAGATAGAAAGACCGATAGATAGAAAGATAGAAAGATAGATAGGTAGATAGGTAGATAGGTAGATAGATAGATAGATTAGATAGATAGGATAGATAGGATAGATAGGATAGATAGGATAGATAAGATAGTTAGGATAGATAGGATAGATAGGATAGATAGGATAGATAGGATAGATAGGATAGATAGGATAGATAGGATAGATAGGATAGATAGGATAGATAGGATAGCTAGGATAGATAGGATAGATAGGATAGATAGGATAGATAGGATAGATAGGATAGATAGGATAGATAGGATAGATAGGATAGATAGGATAGATAGGATAGATAGGATAGATAGGATAGATAGGATAGATAGGATAGATAGGATAGATAGGATAGATAGGATAGATAGGATAGATAGGATAGATAGATAGGATAGATAGGATAGATAGGATAGATAGGATAGATAGGATAGATAGGATAGATAGGATAGATAGGATAGATAGGATAGATAGGATAGGATAGATAGGATAGATAGATAGGATAGATAGATAGGATAGATAGGATAGATAGGATAGATAGATAGGATAGATAGATAGGATAGATAGATAGGATAGATAGATAGGATAGATAGATAGGATAGATAGATAGGATAGATAGGATAGATAGGATAGATAGGATAGATAGGATAGATAGGATAGATAGGATAGGTAGATAGATAGATAGATAGGATAGATAGGATAGATAGATAGATGGATAATAGGATAGATAGGATAGATAGGATAGATAGGATAGATAGGATAGATAGATAGATAGATAGATGGATGGATAGATAGATAGATAGAGATAGATAGATAGATAGATTGATAGATAGATAGATAGATAGATTGGATAGATTGGATAGATTGGATACATTGGATACATTGGATAGGTAGGATAAATAGGATAGATATGATAGATAGGATAGATAGGATAGATAGGATAGATGAATTAGATAGATTAGATAGATTTGATAGATTTGATAGATTTGATAGATTAGATAGATTAGATAGATTAGATAGGTTAGATAGCTGAGATAGATTAGATAGGTTAGATAGCTTAGATAGCTTAGATTAGATAGATTAGATAGATTAGATAGATTTAGATGGACCAGATAGATTAGATGGATTAGATGGATTGGATGGATTAGATGGATTAGATGGATTAGATTGATTGATAGATAGATAGATAAATAAGATAAGATAAGATAGAACGATAGATAGATAGGATTGGATTGGATTGGATTAGATTAGATTAGATTAGATAGATCGATAGACATATTATATCTTATTTTGTATGTGTATATATATATTATATGTAATTATATATGTGTGTATGCCATGTGACTATGTGTGTGAATAGAATCTAGGAATACTTTCGCCTAGCATTGGATCAGTAGGGCTGCTGAGGCCAGGATGTGGTGGAAGCGAAGTTGCTGGAGACCAACGGCTGTCTTGTGGCCCCCCCGAGACAGAAAAGGTACCATGTAACCATCATTTAATGGGATTTATTGGGATAAAATTAGCGCTTAGATCCCAGCATTTGATGGGATCTAATGGGATAACATGATGGGATTTAATCTTTAGGTATCACTCAATGGGATTTAATGAAAATTCTTGATTTTTTTTCATGAGAGAGTTCCATTTACCATCCGGTGAGATGAATTTGTTTTGACAAAATGGAGATTTACCCGACAAAAATGGAGATATTATGAGATACAAAATGGGATGTTACTGGAAAAATCAAACCTGGCAATGGGAAAACGGCTGAACTAAATCGAGGTTTTTAAATGGGAAAATTATCGTCCAGCGGGTTTTTCAGTTACCAGTGGCAAACTCATTGAGTAAGCTATGCGTGGAGTGTCAAAGATGCCGTTTGACTATGGAAAGGTATGCCTCCATTTTGTGGGAAAATCATGATAGAATGGATGGAAAGCTAGATAAAACATAGAAGGGAAAAAATTATGACTATGGAAAACATGGAAAGATAGACCAGTGGATGGAATGTGTTTTTTTCCATGTTTGTCCCATCATTTCGGTGTTTCAAAGCTATGGCACTTTGATTCCTGCAGGACATTGTGAGACACTTTGCGCGGGCGATGCCCAGCTCCTTGGAGGGTTTCCAAAGGAAGTACTCGAAGATGGTCCAGGACGGGCAGGATTTCCGTTTTTGGACCTCTAAATTCTGAAAATGGGGTTGAAACATGTCAAAACAATAAGAAACTACGCATTTTGGAATGGTAAACATACCACCCGTACCACCCTAAAAAAAATGGTGATTTAGGAGATGGTTTATGATGTTTATGATTGTTTTAACCACATTAGAAATCCTAGATACTCTAGGGGCTAATCAGGTGACGATACTTCTCCGGGATTTACCGTCAAAAGCATTCAGGTTTTCAAGCGAATGGCAACCCTTCCAAAAAGAATCTAGCAGAGGTTGATTTTGATATACAGTTATTACAAAATACATCAAAATACCTAGATTTGTTGTTAAATCTGTTAAATCGGTTAAATATCTGAATCGCTGTTGCAGTTTCCGCAGGAGGTCGAGGCAGATACCTTTGGTACCTGGGGTGATGAGTTGCTCCTGGATCTCCTAGGGCTCACAGCAGCGTCAGGGTCTCAGCATGTCTCAGCCCCCAATCCTTCACTTGGCTTGGTTCGGCTTGACTTGTAGCTTCTTATATGTTTTTGGATATCATTGATGATATCATGTTGGATTGTTGGATTGTTGCTTTGATCATGTAAAGAAACCTAGGAAGCTTCTTTGGCTTCCTATTTAAGTCGATCTTTTCTTTTCTATCTTACCTACTTATCATCTCTATCTTGGTTACTTTGTCTGTCTTATCTGTCTTGTCTCTCATGTTTATCGCTTGTATCTTGTCTCTCTTGCCTATTTTGTCCATCATGTCTAATTATGTGTGATTGGTCTGATATGTTTTTTGCCTATCTTTAATCCATCTGTCGCCTGATATTTATCTCCTTTTGCCATATATTATCCGCATCTATCTTGCTATCTCTTCATCGTTTTATTGATCCTGCAACCACATCTCACAACAAAGAACAACATCAGAACAGAACTGCGCGGTTTGGTTTCCTTTATTTGTGGGTTGTGGGAGGCGCTGCACCCTCCTCTCAATCCCGCCTCTCCCACAAAACTAAGTCTGCACTTGATGCGTACACATACTTGAATACATGCAGGACCGCTGCATGTGTGAGGGCTCAATGTGTTTTAATATTTTTTTAATCACCCGAGGGTCCTTGAGCAACTGTTTGCAACCCAGTAAGACCACTTTTTGATCCGGAATAAGCTGCTTGTGATTCCAATTCATGGATCATTTACTCATATTTACTCAATTTGATTGAAGAAGTTAGGATGTGATTGTCAGTTCATATTGTTTAACCATGTTTAACCTATTCCAATCAGCCTTTTTGGTCCCTTTTGACCCTTGGGATTCAACGGCGGGTTTTTCGCACATTTTTTTCAAGATGCACGGCTCCAGGGATATTTTGGTGCCATTGGGGTAACTCTAGCCATGAGGACACTGACGGTGATGATATATAAAAAAAACAATAAAAAACACACACACACATATATTATATGTATATATTATTTATATATAATAGATATATATATATATATAATAGACATATTTCTACACTCCATGGGTGCCCCGTTTTCACGCGAAGCCAAATATCATCATTTTTATCGCGATGATCGGGGCCATGTTTTCAGAGGCCAGATTTCAAGCAGAAGGCGCTGCGGCTGGGCGAAAACGATCCCAAAACCCTGCCAGGAAACACACGGTGCTTGCAATTTACCTTCTGGTTATTTAACAGTTCGCCATGGTATAGATGGCCCATTTATAGATGGTCTACCTATAAAAAATGGTGATTTTCCATGGCTATGTTAAATAACCAGATGGTAAGTGGGGTATGGCTGAAGATTGGGATATGCAAGAGCAGAGCTGGCCAAAAAGGCCCGTAACAGAGACAATCCACGTGAACTGCCGAGTTTTGTCAACAATTCGTACAGATGCCTCGTTTTGCATCCCCTGGTTAGAAGCCAAGACTCGCAGTTCAAATGTTTGCTTCCGGATTTGGTTGGCAATTTGGATGTGGATGTTTTTTTTTTTAAAAAAATTAAATGGATATACATATATATATATGTATATATAAAGGTGTATATATATATAAAGGTGTATATATATGTGTGTGTGTGTTTGTGTATGTGTGCGCCGCAGGCTGCTGGGCTGGCTTTGAAGTACCACCAGCAGAACCTGCACAAGTGCTTCCGCGGGGATGCTAGCCTGCGCTGGGCCCGCTTGGCTTTGGGTTTTTGCTGTGATTCTTTCAACATTAGTCAAGGATGATTGCCAGAATGCGCATAGCTTGTAAGGACTTTGCCACAGGGCATACAGTTGGAACAGTTGACATTAGCAGCTTGCTAGACGCTACTTGACATGTGTAGGAAGAACTTCATGAACCATATCTTGGCTGCTGGCACATAAGCTACTCCTAGGCCCTAGGCTGTTCTCTGATTTTGACATCCCACATGGGAAATTGCTCGAAGCCTTGGAGCTACATTTCTGTGCCTCTGAGCCGCAGACTTCGGCTAAGGAGAACTTGCTCCATCAAAGAGTTGGCAGCTCAAGTGCCATAGGATTTCTGCCAGCCTTTCAGAGATCGGTTCTGGAAGGTCAACAAGAAATTAGCTGAGAAAATCTTGCATACTCAGCTGATATGGCTCAAGGATGTTCAAAGAAATTGCGGAAAAAAAATCCACTGTCACAGCTGCGTTTGAGTCAAGCATGCTCATCCAATGTGCAGCCACATTTTTCTTCATCGGTCGTTGATGCTTAAGTCCCTAATTTTTTAGTGCTTCCTAAACCATGCTTTTTTCATGATGAACACATCATCATGTTTGATGATTAAATCACCATGATTATGGTTATACGTGGTTATACATTGTTAGATCGCCATGTATAACCATTATATAACCCATGATTGATTAAACTAAATAATGGCGATCTAACAATGTATAACCAGTTATAAGCATTGTATAACCCTCTTTAGTTCACCAGTAACTCGAGGGTTAAATTTCACCAAATTTTCCATCCTTTTTTGTTGGATGGTGAACTCCATCAAAAATTCTTGGAGTCGCCATGGATGCCATTCGGTATACCTACCTGGAGGACGGTCAGGGAAGCCTTGGGAAAACCACATGCAAACATTACCCTTTGGTAATTTGACATATAGCATCATATAGCTATGGACAATGTTCATTTTAATTGGCAAATCATCTATAAATATCTATAAATGGCTCATTTACCATAACTATGTTGAATTACAAGAGGGAATGCATGATAGGCCTATGCATTTTGAGATATGATATGATATCACATGATCCAAGCGAACTAAATTACCTGATGTTATGAATATTAATGCAAAGATATATAATAGGCACCAACACACACACGCATGTATCTACATACATATGCAACGCGTACTACGTAGTTATGCCCCATAGTCATCCTGTAGAACTGGATGCGCAGGAGCAGCGTCGTTCGTTTCAGTGGGCTGTGACCATGATCCACTGCTCAAAATCAAGATCATGGTTTCTACACTATACTATACTATACTAATCACACATATACTATAGTTCTATACTATAGATGAATCTATACAAAATCTACTATACATCATTTCTACACTATATTAATCACAACCAATGGTTTCTCTATTATGCTGCTGATACTAATGCTACTAATGCTACTACCGCTACTACTGCTACTGCGGCCAATACGGCTTCTGTTGCTACTATTGCTACTACTGCTACTACTGCTACTGCTACTACTGCTACTGCTACTACTGCCACTAATACTGCTACTACTAATACTGCTACTACCATTATTGCTACTAGTAATACTGCTACTACTGCTGCTACCACCACAACAACAACAACTACAACTACTACTACTACTACTCCTCCTCCTCCTCCTGCTCATGAAGCTCTGTTTTTGCGACATTTAATTGGAGGGAGCAGCTGCCCTGTCCTTGACGCCGGATTTTCAGCAGGACAGGGCCCCAATGCCTCGTTTCGGTGTGGAACCTCAAATCGATGAGCTCATCAAACAGGCGGAGGGTGGAGCGCCATGGAGCGCCCTTGTGGGGTCTATGGTTTGATCATGACCTTTTGGGTTTTGGTGGTTTATCAAACATGATTTGATATGATTTGATAAAACTTGTGCCAAAAAGACCGCTAGAGAGAGGGTTTAGAATGGTTTCCACCAGAAATTGCCAGAAAATTGGGTTTTGAACTGCCAGAAATTGGGACAAATGGGGCTTTGTTGCTGCAGACCAATCTGATTGGCGGACTGCGGAGGCAACAGACTTTTGAAGACTGCCAGCATAAGCGTTTCACGCAGTTGGTTCCATGTTTCGTGTTCATGTCTTGTTCACATGTACCGTATTGAAATTGAATGACACTTAGTTTCAAGGATAAAGTTATTTTTTTTCATAGATGTAATTTTCATGATTTTTTCCACTGGTTGGTTGGTTGGTTGGTTGGTTGGTTCATAGAGGACATGTTTGTTGAAGATCGACCGCATCTCCGCATCATGCAGGAGATGTCACCGTCCAAGCACCGGCGATTGGCGCCACCTGAGCAAAGGAAGAGGAAGATTTCAGACCTTTGGCCGCCAAAAGCAGCGCTTGCAACACCGCTTGGTACCCTCTGGTAAACTTACAAAAAACTATGGAAAATCACCATTTTTAATGGGAAAACTATGGAAAACTCACTATAAATGGATATAAATAGCTATTTTCAATAGCTATGTTAAATTACCAGAGGGTAGTTGCAACTACATGTTGCAACATGTTGCAACTAAAATAGCTGGGGCCCAATAAAAACTCCAAGATGAGCTGTACTCATGCTGAATCTTTCACTACATGGTTGTTTTGGGGTTTTTGTAGCTGCATGGCTCCCCTAGCCAACCAACCATCTTCTGATTTTGGGCAACCTTGTGGTGAAAATTCGCTCGAAGGCATGCAGCCTACCACCTGGCAATCAGTTCCATGGCTGGAAAAATCCATATTTCGATGACTTTCCGAGCTCTAAATCTCAATTTCAACATGGGGATATCCCAGCGATTTTTCATCCAGGAATTGGACTCGGTGCTGGAGAGGCATGTGGGTCGGAGGTTTAAGGGATCGGTCCAGTTTTGTACTGCAACCAGTGGAAATCTTTGAATTGTAATCATTATATAAAACCACCCATCTCTTGGATGGTTTTAGTCATGCCGGGCATGGATACTCTTTGATTACAACCTCACATCGCGACGTCGCTGGAATGATGGGAATTGGGAAGTACTTCACCAAATACCCAAACGTTTCAGGCTGGTGAACTATATCATTTGATTTCCCTAGACTTAGACTCCCATAGCCATAGCATTTTGAACTCACCATATTTGATGCGGCATTTGCACAGGTGGCAGAGTGCAGCTCAAGCCTTGCTTCCAGAAGAAAAGCAATTCATACGGCCAGCGACATATCAACTTGAGCTCCCTGCTGCACTTTCAGCCGGTTGATCCACTGGGGGAAGATAGATATTTCCCAAGTTTGGAGAGCTAGTTTCAATAGCAACCCTGACTAAGTAGAAATTTGAAGTTGACATAGTCAGAAGTGGGTCACAGAGGAAACCCCAAACATCAGAGTTGGACATTTTGGGGCATACATCAAACTTGGACATTTTTTGGCATAGCCTCCAATCATTATATACTGCCTCCTGAAATCTAGCTAGTTTAGCAGCTAGCGTTCTGGATGCTTCCTGAGATCGAAAAATGGTTTTTCATGGTTTTTTACGGTTTATGGAAAGGCCTGGCATCCAGTTACCGGAGGATATCCAGGATATCCGTCTCAAAGACGGCCGAGGTCGTTGATTTGCCGATTTTTTCAGCTTTTCCGGGTTGTGATTCCGAGTTTTTGGGCCAACCTTGGGGCCCGTGGCTGGGGTTTCTTATAAAGGATGGGAGAGTATAATGTATAGTATATATAATATAATATGAATATAATATGAATATAATATGAATATAATATGAATATAATATGAATATAGGTGATTATATGAACATATCATATGTATTTGAATCTTATTACTTCCATTGGACATATTTTTTTACATTTTGGTTTTGACATCTAATATATGGTATGACATATGGTTTAAGCCATTTTGAGCCCATCTTTCTACGGAATGCTGCCATCGTTTTGAGGCACTGGAGGCAAGATGCCTTGAAGAGACAAGAAGACGCAAAGGCGGCGTTCCAAAATCAGCCTCCCCGTTTCACTATGTACCCTCTGGTCATCTAATATAGCCATGGGTAGAGTACCAAAAGGTACATTATTCACATAGGCGTGTTTGCGCGTGCATACCATAACTTGACCTAACATAAGATTAGGATATATTGATCAGTACAGTACATTCGTACAAGGTCAACTACATAAGGCGACGCAAAGCATTGCAGAACATAACGCAACTGCCATATCAGAACGTAGCAGGACGTAGTACAAGATTGCATAGCATACAGTATATGATATATATATATATACACACGCACACACCATAACAGAAGACAACATGATATTGCAAACCAATACATACATGCCATTATATATGATTACTTAACATTATATGTCATGACACTACATTACATACGTACACACGCTCAAACACACACACACACATAGTGCGCAGAAGATGCCCCCAAAATCGGCGGGGAAGCCAGCGGCGACTGGAGGGAAGTGATAGAAGTCACCTGAATGATAAAGATCTGTTGAGCATTCGTACACAAACACATAAACAAATGAAGCTTCCCAAAAAACTCAATGGTTGGATCTGGTTACATTTTGGATGGGATTTCTGTGGGGCGACCACCGGCAGGACATCCAGCGGCAGAATGACCATGCCAAACAATATTTGGCAGACTGCGGAGTGCCTCAGCAAGTTTGGTTCCGGGCCAGGTGAGGGTCTCGATAAAGGCCTCTCCGCCTGCTGCGACTCTCTGGGTCTTGGGGGACTATCGGTATCGCGAGATTGGCGACTTTGTGGGGCTTGCGGGCCTCGAACACTATGGTAGATAACATGTCAGATAGAGTGCCACATAAAATGATTCGATTATTTGGCGGATAGAATGTCGGAGAAAATGCAAGAATATATGCCAGGACACATGTCAGATAAAATGATGAATGTCAGTTGGTGGATGTTGGTGGGGATCACTCGACGTGAAGGACATTTTTGATGCACCATGGGAGTTCGAAACTGGAGTAGCTGGTGGTGTCTGAACATGGTGAATATCAGGGAAGTTAAAGGGTGCCCCCTCCCAAAGGGCCCCCTACAAAAATAGGAGTTTTATCAGCCCCCAATGAGGATTGATATAGGATTGATGGGGATTCATAAAAATCAGATTTCACAAGCCCTCAATACGGCCTTTACCTGTTGGGGGGCTGACCTTTGTTTGGAATACTGATCAATCAACCAGTGGATTCGTAGGGGAATTCCTAACATGTTCAGGTACCAAAGCCATGACTTGAGGCATTCTTGGCAGAAGTCATGAAAGATCTGGATCTGGAAATGAAGGCGGAAGGAGATCTCCTTGGTGCATCCGGATGTGGATGATGTGGATGGCACTGAGCTTCTTCTTGCCCAGTCTTGGTGCATTGAATCCGGCTCTTTTTTGGATGTCGCGGGCAACCCCTTGAGGCCCTTGAGGCATGTTGAGATATCAATGTGCTGCCAGGAGACAGGAGGTCTTTCGACAACGGCAGACTAGTTCAAGGCCACCGAGGGGTCTCCAGGTTTGACATGTCATGGAGCAATGTTTCAGTGGGCCGCGACCAAAGTACAGTACATTCACTTTCGGTTGAAAACAGGAATTGTCCCATAGTTGGCGCCTGGTTTGTCATCACTTTCGCCATAAAAAGTGCCATGCATGTAACATTCATTCCCTGCCTGGGCCCATATCGCTGTGCTTCTTCCCCTGCCAGAGGTAGCAGCCTGCCAACTTCCTAGAGTTTCAAGCGGAAAAGAGCCACGGGAACGGGATGGAACGGGCTTGGAGTCATGTGAACCCAATCATCCCAAGGAGTTGAGAAAAAAACCTCAACTTGGGATGGGTTATTCTTGGGTTCACGATGGTTTACCTCATTGTTTGGCATAACTTTCTGCATCAAGATGAGATAGTTGCAGTGGATGACTTGGTATGAATTTGCATCGGGATCTCATCAGGCAAGCTACCAGTAGATTCAATTGATATTAAATCTAATTTACTATCGCCCCAAGTTTATTCAAAAGGACACCATCATAATAATCCATCATCCATCATCCATCATCCATCATCCATCATCCATCATCCTCATTGTCATCATCAGGATCATCATCATTTTCCCCCAAGGCTTAGCATATCTTTGGGTTTTACACCAACGATTGGAATTCCCACACTCTTTCTGGGAAGGCATCCAGAGGCCACCGAAATGGCTTTGAGTCTCAACATGTTGGGTGATTTAAGCCACTGATATGGCAAGTTCCAGAAAAATGCAGATGCTGATAATGATGATTGTATATTGTGATTGCCATATATCTAAAGTGTATATATATATATAATATGTATGTATGTCTGTATGTCCGTGTGTGCATATGATGTTTACATGCACATATCCCTATCAGCGCAGGGTGCCATTAGTCTACCCAAAGCTTGGGACCCGCCACAGGTGGTCAGTTATGCGGAGCTGGACCTAAGCATCCAGCAACAGGTGCTGCAGTATGCCAGCTACCAGCAGAATGGATACGATGACTGGCGGCCCAAGAAGGATTGAAGCTGCGCCGGAAATTCAACGCTTGGGACATCGGACATGGGTATGGGGCAATGGGAAAGATCTGCGGCCCAGCAGATGGGGATTTAGACAAGTATCATCAAGTATCTAAATTGGTCAAACCATTTTCTGGGGTGTGATATTTTTGATCTGTGGATTGCTGGGTCGATGGTTTGTTTTCACCCATTCTGGTTTGCCCGCCACGACTGCGGAATCTAGTCTTTAAGAAACCTTGGTGTAGCGCCCTTAAGGACGTCCAAGATACCTGATGGACTATCTTGAATTCGAAGGTGGTAGCTTTATGACTTTCATGAAAAAGGTCAGAATGCTTAAAATATTGGTCCTTAGCAAGGAATGGGGGAATGATCTATACTGACTATTAAAAATCATCCCATTCTCCCATTCCCTACTAAGCACCAGCAAGTTAAGGAAACCTTTGAACACCTGGCTGGGAAATTCCAGGATTTTCTCTATGCCACTTGCCTGCCGCGCGGCCCCTACACTTGACTCATGCAGAGATGGAACAGCCATGCACAGCCACTCTGGAATAACAGGGGAGAAGAATTAAGCGAAAAGACCAGACATTCCTGCCATTTCCTGCCTGCTTACAGACTTTTTTGAGCAATGGTCGTATGAATTTCCGAACAGACTATGAGTTCGATCCGTGCCGCAACGAGGGATCGGTTTCTGAGGTGCAATGCTTTGGTGGACAGAAGTTTGTGCAGTGAGTTCCAGCTCCTTTCCAAGATTTGCGAGGAGATTGATGAGTTTTTTCCCTGATGCAGTGGATGGTTGCGAAATCCTGCACCAGTTGAAAACGGTGGTTAGTCCCACTATTTATGGGGGTTCAACCATCCAAGGTGGTGCAGGATTTCTTCCATCCACAGTAGGGACCCAATCTTGTTGCTTTTTTTTCTTGGATTCTGTTAAAAGAGTCAGAATGTGAAGCGGCTTCGATTCATTGGAACAAGATATGGTATGGCAGTTTGGGCAAGATGATTGGTTATGGCCCAGTGGCTCGTAGGACTTACAATGCCAGCTCATTCTGATTTGTCTCAAAATGGGGCTCCCCCAGCCCCATGGTTTATCATGGTTTATCACCATTCTCCCCATGAGGAGAACCAGAAATTGCGCTAACCCTGCAACTCTTAGGAAAACTCAATATCATTTGAAAGGTCGAATCACCCATATTTAGCTGCTTTTTTTTGTTTAGATCGCTTGAATTTTCCCTATGGTTTGATTATCATTTATCAATCTAAATCATGATAAATCATGTTAAATCATGTTAAATCCCCCAATCATGTAGGAAGCGACTTGACTCGCGCCCCGTGAGGAGGTGGCTTCTTTTTTGAGCCAGGAGGGACACACTTTTGCGGTGAGAAATCCCATATATCAGAGAATCCTTAGTCTGGTGACGGAATTCCATGTCATACAGTTTCTTACGAAATTTTCAGTAGAATTTTAATAGGTTGATTACCCATAGGATCCATGTATGGTATATATGCTAACATTTGGGGTATACTGATGGTAAATGTTACCATATATGGCATACATGGATCCTATGGGTTATAGGATGGTTGATGAAACGCTTGACCCCTTGAAAAAGGGGATAGAACAGGTTGAAATTGCTGCGACATGTGCGATCTGCATCCTATTCTGCCGATCGAAGCTGGCAACGGAAAAGCATGGTGCAGGTTCAACGAGCCCCGTGGTTTGATGTCCGCGGCCAAGTGCAGATCTTTGTAGCAGGTGCCCCGTGCTTATCCTGTGCTCGGGGGCCCAGAGCCACGGTTTGCCAGGAGTGTGTTGTTATAATATATTGGAAACAACAGCTTTGCCAAAAAAACACTATTTCTAAATATAATATACATTGACCTGATGTGAGCATGTTATGAACATTATACAACATGGCACTATATGATACACATCAGGTCAAAATTGGGTATTTGAAAGGTGGGAGGGGATGGTATCAGAAAGGACAAGAATCAGAAATTGCCCCAATCCCTCATGCAGAATCTATTCTCACACTTGCAGATTGTACGGGGTTCAGGTGGGTGCCATGTGGCAATTCCGCCTGCTCTTGCCAAATGTCGGCGGCTCAATCAGAGCCAAATGGAGCCTGACTTCTGAACCTGATGCTGACACCCTTCTTGGATTAAATGCCAGTCGTCAGTTCAAAAAAGAGAGATGCCTGAAACCCTCGTTAGTTGATGCTTACATACGATGTTTACCAGCAGTAAACATAGTAAAACCAAGAAATCGACTAGACAAGACCACTATGAGGTTGACTTCTTCGTTGCCATTGGGCCAGAGATAGTCTTAAATAAGCTTGAATTGCTCCAAAAAAGTATAAAATTAATGAATCCTGCACATTCCTGTACATTCCTGCATAACATGCATCCAATTCCACATTGCCAACAGAAAATCCATAGAAAACCCCCTTGAAATTTGATGGGATTCCAACAACCAGGCCCCGTGGAACTTAGCTCCAAACACTGGAAGTTTGGAAATATGGAACAACCAAAACACAAGGAAACTCAGGACATCGAAACTAACAAACAACTAGGTATTTGGACAAAAACATACGCATATAAAAATAAAATAAATTAAGAAAAAAATAAAAATAACCACCTACCAATTCTTAATACTTATATATATATTATATATTATATATTATATATTATATATTATATATAATATATTATATATTATATATTATATATTATATATAATATATTATATATTATATATTATATTTTTTTTATTATATATTATATATTATATATTATATATGATATATTATATTTTATATATTATATATGATATATTATATATTTTATATAATATATTATATATTGTATATTATATATTATATATTATATATTATATATTATATATTATATATTACATTTTTTTTATTATATATTATATATTATATATTATATATTATATATATTATATTTTATATAGTATATTATATATTATAGATTATATATTATATATTGTAGATTATATATTATATATTATGTATTATATATTATATATTATATATTATATTATATATTATATATTATATTTTATATTTTATTCTTCTTATTATTATTTTTATTACTGTATTATATTTTGTGTATTATAAATTTTCTGTAATATTTTATCATATATCATTCCATATCATTATACTACTACTACTACTACTACTCCTGCTGCTGCTGCTGCTACTGCTGCTGCTACTGCTACTGCTACTGCTACTGCTACTGCTACTGCTACTGCTACTGCTACTCCTGCTACTCCTGCTACTCCTGCTACTCCTGCTACTCCTGCTACTCCTGCTACTCCTGCTACTCCTGCTACTCCTGCTACTCCTGCTACTCCTGCTACTCCTGCTACTACTACTACTACTACTACTACTAATAATTTTGCGGTAAGGTTAGGACTGCGCGCGCGCGCAGTTCAGCTGCTCGGAAAACCACCAAAAAAGTCAATTATTTTGGACTTTTGGCTGAATACATGTTTAGCCTGCACGAAGACGTAGCGAATACTCTTTTCGTCGACCTTGTTAGGACCTCCCCAATGGCACCGAAATAATTCGATTGTTTTGGAATTTTGAAAAACAAAAATTCCAAAATAGGAATACTTTTTGGGGATTTTCATTTTGCGGTCCCAGTCAGTCCTGGTCCCGTGTCGCCATCCCATGACGGTCCCTCGATTCTCCCCTGGTTCGATTCCCCCTAGGGACCCCTTGCAAGCTATTGCCCTTGCTTGCCTAGCTGCGCTATTGTCCCTGCGCTCTTTCTAACACGCACCTCTGCGGGACTGCTCGCTTGCTGCACCCGCCTTCTACCGCACACACTGTGCTTGCTTCCTTAGCCTGTGCGCGCTGTTTTGGGGAGTTTCTTTGGGACGCGGCTTTCGGTAGCAACTTTGGAGAGCAGCTTTGGGGAACAACTGTGGGAAGCAACTTTGCGGCATTGCAGCAGCTTGACGAACAATTGCTTTGAAGAACGGCAGTTTTGGGGAGTAGCTTTAAATAGCAACTTTGGGAAGCAGCTGTCGGCAACAACTTTAGGCAGCTTCGGGGAGCAGCTCTTCGGAGCAGCTTTCGATACAACTTTGGGGAGCGGCTTTGGGGAACAGCTTTGTGGAGCAGCTTTGGGGAGCAGCACTGGGAAGCAGGAGCAGCTTTGAGGAGCAGCTTTGCGCGGCAGCTTCGAACAGAAGCTTTAAAAAACCGCAGCTTTGGGGAACAGCTGGGACTAGCCTTAGAACGCAACTTTGGGGGGCAGCTTTCGGATGCTTTCGGCAGCAACTGTGGGGAGCAGCTTTCGGGAGCCGCTTTGGAGAATAGCTTTGGGGAGGTGCTTTGGGGAACAGGTTTGAAGCATGCCGCTTTGGGGCAACCGCTTTGCAGAGATGCTTTGTGGAACAGCTTTGGGAAGCAGCTTCGGGGAATCGCTTTGGGGAGCAGCTTTGGCAAGCTTTCCAGAACAACTTTGATCAACACTTTCTTTGAAGAACAGCAGCTTTCGGGATCTTTCGGGGGCAGCTTTACAGACAACTTCGGAGAGCAGCTTTTGGTAACTTCTACCAGCAGATCTTAGGGTTAGCTCCGGAAACGTCATTGTTGCCCTTTTCGCCA